GGGTCGGGGGGACCCCCCCCCAGTCCTCCAACAGTGCAGGGGAAGCCTTTGGAGGCTTGCCCAGCACCATCGAAGGACCGGCGGGGGTCCCCACAACCGCCCTTTTCCCCTGCCTTTTTCTGTTCAGAGGCTTGCCGAGCACCATTGGAGGACTGCCGGGGGGACCTCTGAAAGCGGCTATCCCGGTTGCAGGGGACCCCTGCCAGTCCTCCGATGGTGCTTCCCCAGCTCCCTACCTGGTTAGTGACTTTTTCAGAGTTCTTTGGCCCTTATGAATGCATTAACTAAATTTCAATGCATTCTTATGGGAAAACGTACCTTGCAAGATGAAAATTTCACAAGACAGGACTCACGGAACAAATTATTTTCGTCTTGCAAGGCACCACTGTAGTTGTCTCTAATGATTTAACGTAGCACTCTATTAAAATCTAGATTCTGTTAACAGGCACGGCATTCTGCAGTGAAACGGCCCCTCCTTTGGTCGCTGCTGCAGGGGAAGCAGGAAAGTCGCCTCATCGGGGCCTTAGCAGCAACGCAGAAGAAAATGGGACTCGTGCCGAAAAGCCACGACAGAAAGTGGACAAAGACTCCCAGGTGGCGGCCAAAGCCGCTCAGTCTTCCGTCACGTCCTCCTCGCCCTCCCCCTTCTCCTTCTCCTCCACCTCTTCCGCGCCGACCCACGGCTCCTTCGTCCTGCAGGCGCCCCAGTGCCCCATGACCAAAGCTTCCCAGCAGCCCCCCATCGTTTACCTGCCTAAGCCGGTCTATGACGTCGTGACCTCCGCGGACAGCACGGGGCTTCCAAAGTCTTCGTCCCTCTTGCCATACCACTCAGTGACATGGGCCAGCTCCTTCCGCCCTCTCATGAGTAAAATGATGACCTGCACGGAACAGTCTCTGTATTATCGCCAGTGGACGGTCCCCAAGCCCATCCACATGGACTACAACAATAGGAACGAAGGCCGGATGGACGCCTTCCACCCGAGGAGGTTGCTGCTGAGTGGGCCGCCCCAGGTAGGTCTCAAGAGCCGGACCACCATTTCTCAGCTTTTTTGGGCGGGGGTTCATAAACTTTGCTTCGTTTTCACATTAAAAGGTGAGAATTGCATTGCTGCTTTGGAGTACGATTGTACCGAGCCATGACAGTGTTTGCTTTATTGTTGCTGGTTTACTTAATTTATATTCTGGCCCTTTTGCCAAAAAACAGTGTTTAAAATGGCACTTGCTGTTTTGGCAAGCCCAGGGGGAAGAAACACAGAGTCAAATGAAGGGAAGGTGTTCAGGCCCAACAGTCATAGAACCATCGGGTTGGAAGGGACCTTGGAGGTCTTCTAGTCCAAACCCCTGTGTGACATCTTTGAGTCACACAGTTCTCACTCCAAGATGTGTTGTCTGTAACTCATTTTAGGTCTCTTTTGCCAGCAGAAATCCGCTTATGCCAGCAGAACTGGTTTCTTTGCTAAGATCTGTCAGCAGAAGAGGGGGGGGGAAGGGTCCATCTGGCTTCATATTATTTACATTGACATAAATTTATCCCAGCCCTACTTTTTTGTGCCAGGGAATTGGACCTGGGATGCATAGCATGTGCTCTTCTACTGAGCGGTGGCTTGTTCTGTATTGAGAGCTGTACTTTCTTCATGTGATCGTCATCTTTTTCCTTGGCTTACCCCTACCCTCACTCTTTTCTGCCATTTGTCTGTGTCTCTTTTAAATGGCAAACATTTCAAATTAGGGACCTATCATATTGGTTCTTTGTAAAGTGCCAAGTTCCCCTAAATAGCAACAGTGGTGATAAAAGCTGGCATTCCAAACCATTGGCTTTGGCCTACTATTGTTTACCTCAGTTCTGGATTTTGGCACCCCTGAGGTACTGTATGCAAGATGTCCAAGGAGTGGTTTACCATTGCCACCTCCAAGGGAATATCTGTGCCGGATTTGAACGCAGATCTCCTTAGCTGAACACTCTGTTGACTGCACCACGCTGGCTCTCTGACATGAATCAAAATGTTTCTCATGTTTTTCACATCTGTTCACAGATTGGGAAGACAGGGGCCTACCTGCAGTTCCTCAGTATTTTGTCCAGGATGCTGATTCGACTGACAGAAGTAGATGTTTATGACGAAGAGGAGATCAATACTGGTGTGTCCTTCCTGTAGAAATCTTTGCTTGGGGGAACGGTTTATAATCTTCCTGCCAATTAACAGTCAACTGTTCTACTGTTGTATGCTTAATCTTCCATGTTAATTTAATTTGGCTCACCATTCAGGGAGCCCCATTATGATCCGTTCCTTTCAGAATCCTTATTTCATCATTAGCATTTTACAATCTGTTGTTTTCATTAGCGACTTGGAACAAATGCTCTGTCCAACTGGGTGTTACTGAGTTAACCTCTCCTCCTGAGAGAGTTTACAATCTGTTGTTTTCATTAGCGACTTAGAACAAATGCCCACGCTCTGTCCAACTGGGCGTTACTGAGTTAACCTCTCCTCCTGAGACAGTGGGCTCTCTTCGTAGAAGGGGAAGGCGACACTTGTCCAGTATCAGTAAAAATCTTATTTGTTCCTCCAAATCTACTTTCGAGAGGTTTTTGTTATTTTTATTGATTCACTTTATTTGCACCCTACCTGTTTCCAAGGTGGATTGGGGCCCTTTTGCGACAGAGGACGTTGACGGTTGCGCTGCACGAATAAAGTATAGACACAAAAGGACCAGGATCCCAGCAGTGTTTGCAGAAGCACTGCATAACTTGCGCGGCTACCTGACAAGGGGCTAGGGCCTATCTCGGTCCTGCGCCTGCTCACGTAGCTGGCTTTGAAACTGGCACGCTCATCGATGCCCCATCCCTCCACCACAGTTAGTCCCTGCAAGTTACGCAAATCTTATGTGAACACCAGTGGGTTTCCAGCCAATGTGTTCCAGTGAAAATTCTGTGAAATCCAGCATGCTACACTGCAGCTTTGGTTTATGAGGTCATGTCTTGCTAATGTCCTTTCTGTTGCTGATGCTGCAGGCTCTAAAGAAGAATTGGAGCAATGCTATCATCAGCCAGGGGAGGCTTGGCCTGACCTAGAGGCCTTTAAAAAAATGCCTTTTGACTATACTATCCACGATCCGAAATACGAAGATGCAAGCCTCATCTGTTCAAGGATCGCCAAAACAAAGAGTGAAGGTCAGAATTTGCATTCCTTTTCCTGTTGTCTTCCATAAAGCAAGCGTGGGCAGTGTCGTTGAGTCATTCCAGGACTCCGTGCGGCTTCACTGCCCCCTTCTTCCTCCCTCCCCCCAATACTGTTGCTGCTGCTAGTGGCAGCAGGGAAGAACACCGAAAGCTAGCCTTTTGTTTTCTTTGAATGGACCATGAAGTTCAGTGGCAAATGTCCAAAAACAATTTGAAACAGGTTTGCTCCCTTTAAATGCCATGTCCCCCTTTGCCGCCCTGTGTCAGCAGCAAATCTCAAAAGCTCTTTAAAATGACCCAAATGCTGGGTGCAAATAGGGTTTTCTCTCTGTTTCTGGAGGCACAGATCCCCCAAGAAATTAGGCAGCCCATTTTTAGAAGTCCTCAAAGAGTGGGTGGGTCCACGAGATTCCCATTCCTGCTGTAAACCATGTGCGAAAAAAGGGCATACGTTAGCAGAAATGTACTAATAACTTTTGTTATTAAAAAGTTGCAAGTTTGTGCAGAAATGATCTTGACTTTACTCTCAGAAACGAGATTGGGAAATTCCTGTAACCTAGCCCTGCTCACGGCTGTTACCTAAGCAAGGAGAGAATCAAAGAATCCAAAGTTACAGTTGAACCATTTGTAAAGTGCACGTGCCTGCTGAAATATGATTTGCACAAAGAAGGTTGTGATCTGGGGAAAAAGATGATGAATGTGTTACATCTCATGCATGCCTTCTGGAGGGATACTCAGAGGAGAGATCATCATCACCACTAGAGGGTGCAAATGGACTCACATATCATAGGAAACTATATTGGTCAAATATTCTTAACCGGCCAGATAGGTGGGTTATAAATAAAATAAAATAAATAAATAAATAAATTCTAGCATAGAAACAATGATTAGCATTTCTATGGCCCTTCAGAGGCTTGAAGGCATTCTGTATACATTATTCATCTTCTTAATTTTAAATGCAGATTAAAATGGGGGGGGGAATACAAGTTAGTTGCATGCACAGCAGTGTTTCTAAGAAATGCGGATGGTGCAGAAATTATGAGATGGAATAACGCGGTGAAGGAAGCCACAGCCTTGAGTTTGCAAGACGAGAGCAGGGCAGTTGATGGTAGGAGCTTCTGGAACTCACTAATCTAGAGGGTCACCGTCAGCCAGGAGCAGCTTCGTGCATATTGATGACAACAATATTTTGAGAGTAAGAATTATTGACGTCTCTCCCTTCCATGCAGAAAATTGTGGTGGGGGAGGTGTGTGTCAGCACTTTTTGACTACAATCAAGTTTAGTTTCTCAGCAAAGAAAATCAGCAAGGAATGTATTCATCTCTTCCTTACGGGTCTTTGGACATATGACTAATAAGAGTTTTTAAAAAATAATGATTGTACAGATAGATCAGCAAGCAGAAAACCAGAGGACTTATATCTGCGCCGCCAGACGACTCGGATGAGGCTGTCCAAGTATGCCGCTTACAACACTTACCACCACTGCGAGCAGTGCCATCAGTACATGGGCTTCAACCCCAGGTACCAGGTGAGATTTGCTTGACCCTTTTGGAAAAAAAATTAAATTAAATAAAAAAAAAAGACAAGGAAAAGTCCAGGTGCCCCAAAAGGGAATAAAACACAGATCACGCGGGATTGCAGGGACAGAACAACCTTGGGCTAGACATGGAGCTCTTCTCTGCTGTGCAAAATACGGCTTGTGCAGTTGGGGGGGCAAAGCATTTATGGAGGTTGTCCCCCAGAAAAAGTCCCATTGGACGGATATTCGAATAGGCTTGCAATGATGTGATTTAAGCTAATTCAGCCCTGCATTTTTCTGGCCAAACAGGAAGTTATCAATGATAAGAACAAGAATGAAACTTCGTAGAATAAGCACAGACCTCTTAACACCAGACATAATACACATTATTTTGATGAGTTCCTGTTGGTCTCCATCCTGCCCCTACCTTTTTTAAACTCTGCTTTTCCTCAAAGCAGTGGTGGTTGGCCAACGTGTATTCCACTACCTACATCCCAATATTTTATCTTCCCAACAGTCGAGTGGTACAGTTAGGACTTGGGGGACCCTATGGGAGGAGGGAGGGAAGAGATGGCCGTGGACAGTATTCCATTTTTCTTTTTCTTTTAGTAGGTCAGCTCTGCTGCATCTCTGTGGCTCCTTCTGCTGAGTGAGGCCCCGGGCTCTCACCCCCAAACCCTTCTCTCACAGCCCCACTGCAACAGCCCTTTGTGAGCATTTAGTTCACCCAATGAACGTCATGGTTTTTGCACAGATATGAGACCTGGTCTCTTCAGTAGCAGGTCAACCAGAGCTAGGAAAAGTTGCTTTCTGGGGGGGCAAAATGTCTCCAAATCCTCCATCTAACAGGGCCACTTGCTGTGCTTTCAAGAAGGTTCTGAGAGATGTAGGTGTTGTTTGTAAAACTTCCTCAAGCTTTCCATCCAACTTAATGCTCACAACAGCGCATTAGCTCTGCTGCAGAGGCCAGGTGTCAGGCCCAGCTCTTGATCCTGAAATATCTATTGTCTTGAATGCAAAACTGAAACCAGTTCTTGCATTCTGGTAGGTAATATATATGGTTAGATTGTGTAGAATTCAGGCAGAGAAGGGAAACCACAGAAAAACAGATAATAATTATCCAGCACAACAGGGACCCTCTTCAGGTACTGATGCTGGATCTGTGTAGAACTGGAAAGTGTGTGTGAGGATGGGGGGGTGTTTGCATTTCACCCCCACCCTTAGGTCTCCATGTGGAAATCTCTCAGATGCTGGTGTGCTTAATAGAAAGGGTCTGTAGTGCGAGCTGCAAGATGTTCAGCTGAACACGCTTACAGAGCTTATGGGATCAGGAGCTCTGCCTTATCAGGGCTTCTGATCATGTGATCACTGTAACCATGTCCTGCTGAGTGCTCTTACAACTTCTGCTGCAGACTTTTTTTGCATTACATGTGTCAAGATTGGAGACACTTTCCAGGTGGGAAGGGAAAAGCTCTAATGCCTGAATGAAGCCAGTGTCTGACATTCTTCTTCTTCTTGAGTCTTCATTCGGCTCATGCATCACCGCAAATGGCCATTGATCGCTAAATAAATGGTTCCCTCTGGACCTATTAAGGCTGGCTTTCTTTATTGATGAATGAATGCATTTGGTTTAGGGGGATGTGGTCTATTCTTTTATCACTGTTTAAGTAGATAATATATATCAGCATCATAGCTGGGAAAACAGAGCCCATCCGTACAACAAGATGCCCTGCCATTGAGCAGAGACAGGAGCCAGAGGATTAAGGGGTGCGAGATGAGATCGAGATATTGGGAGACAGCGCTGTATGCGAGACAGTGCTTGCCCTGTACCCCTTTGAGCGAAGGGTTAACAGGTTAGTGTCATCCTGAGTTCTCACATACAGTTGATCTGCCAGCCAGCTTCTCAGTGATGGACAGGGAGAATGCCTGTTCCTAAGCTTTTGTCTCAGGAAGCAGAAGGTCTTCAGCTGGCCGCCCTGGTTAGACTTCTGTTTTGCTTCCCCCTCAGCTTTACGAGTCCACCTTGCACGCTTTTGCCTTTTCCTACTCAATGCTTGGAGAGGAGATTCAGCTTCACTTCATCATTCCCAAGTCCAAGGAGCATCATTTCGTCTTCAGCCATCCAGGAAGGCAGCTGGAGAGTATGAGACTACCTCTTGTCACTGATAAGGTAGATTGAATAAAGCGTACGAGACGTATGCAGCTCCTTCATTTGACAGGGTTGGGAGCAAGGGCGGACGTCCTCGCTTCTCTTATCCTTGCAGGTGAGGATAAAGAACTGTGACGCTCTCCTTCCCTGCGAAGAGGATGCTGAGGAAAGTCCAGGTGCTCTCAGGGGTGGTCTTGCAAATCACCTCTTGGCATAAATCCTGCAACATGTGTAAAGCAAGTGCTTGAGGAGTCTACAGCCTTGCGTGGATTGTTTGTGCCATTCTCGTCAGTCAACTCTTTTGTGTTTGCAGTTAGTGCTTTGCTTCTCAAAGGGAAAGGACGCGAGTTTTGCATAGATTTATTTTCCTTTAATTATGTGGACCACAATGGAGGGAGAAAAAAACAAACCCTAACCTCTTAGTCTCACTCTGAGGGAAGGCAAAGGATCTTGTGAGGCCTTCAGGTGCCTCATTGCAGGGTCTCAACAAATCAGAAAAGCCTAAATCAATGATGGCAAGGAATTTAACAAGTATTTGTCACAACCCTTATTCAGAAGAACATGACTTGCTTCCCCCTGCTTTGCCTCTGCTCTGATATGTGGATAAAGATGGATTGCTGTACTTCCATACAATACTGTCTCTCTCCTGTGAGCAGAGACAGAGAGATTACTCTCTCAGCGCCTGTGCAGCATTTCTTGAATCCACGAAGTGACAAATTTTGTTTCCATGTTGTTCATAAAGGTAGATATTTGAGGTCCATATCGCCATCATAGGAACATCAGAAGAGCCCTGCTGGGCCAAGACAAGGGGCCCTCTAGTCCAGCTTCCTGTATCTCACAGGGGCCCCACCACATGCCTTGGGAGCCCACGAGACAACTAGATACCTGTTCCCCTGATTCCCCCTCCCCTGCATGTGGCATTTGGAGCTACCTTCCTTTCGAAGCCTGGAGATTGTACATCCCCATCATGGATTGTCACCTGCATTGGACTTTTCTTCCAGGAATCTGTCCAATCCCCTTTTAAAGGCATCTAGGCCAGATGCCATCAGACCTCTATGGCGGAGTTTAGGAAGCCACTTTCAAGAAAGATGAATATAATAACATGTTGAAGAACTTATGGATCTTAGAGCATCACGGTTCCATTGTTCCATTGTGGAAGGTTTCAGTATGGCATTGCATTCATTCTGCTTAAAGGTCAAAAGCAAAGCATGAAATGAAGTGTGCTGCTCATACCACCCCATATTTAATTATGCAGGCTACACATTGACCCCCTAACCCCCCAGTGAACAGGGTACTCAGTTTACCCATCTTGGAAGGATGGAAGGCTGAGTCAACCTTGATCTGGCTTCCTGAGCCCACTGGGATCAAACTCAAGCGATGAGCAGAGTTTTGACTGTAGGGCTTCAGTTTAATCCCTGCACCAGAAGGCAAAAAGTAGTGTTTCAGGCTCTGCCTTTGGGGTTGTGACAAAAGTGCAAAATGTTACCACGAGGAGAAGGGAAGGGAACCTCTTTTGTAGGCAGTGTTCATCTCCCTTGTAGGTGCACCAGTGCTAACCCCCTAGTCAACAACTATTTTTAATGGAGGGCCACTGATCTCCAGTTGCTCACTCCAAGATAGTCCAATGATGTGGTGCTTGCTTGGTTTGGATAATCTAGCTAGCCTTGGCTTTACATCTCCTGACGGTTATGAACTGGAGTTGGTGGCAGCTGGCACTTGTCTCGTGAATCAATGAAGCAAGGGAAGGATTTTTGTGATTTTCCCCAAATGAGTCTCATTGTAATCTTATTGAAAACTTTAGAAGGCAAACTATCCAGCTTGTCCATTGACGGAAGCAGGTAGGTAGGCTACAACCAAACTATGCCAAATCCTGGGTTTAGTCACCCCTTCTCCCTCAGTGCCCTCAACCTTTAATTTGCTGATTTTCATGACAGTAATAACACCCAGATTCCTAACTTTACAGAGTCAGGACTACATAAAGAGCCCTACTTTTACCCCCACAACTGGACGCCATGAACACGGACTCTTTAACCTTTATCATGCCATGGATGGGGCCAGCCATTTGCACGTCCTGGTGGTCAAAGAATACGAAATGGCGATATATAAAAAATACTGGCCCAATCACATCATGCTTGTTCTCCCGAGTATTTTCAACAGTGCTGGAGTGGGTACGTATGCTCTTGGAATGGTCGCTCACGGAAAGGAATTGCAGTTGCAAGCTTTAATGGACTGAATAGGTGGGAAAGCAATCTAAAGTTTTGGTTTAATAGTAAATTAATCATGAGCCGTCGGTTCTGACTTATGACAGCCCTTTTGCAGGGTTTTCTAGGCAGAGAGGACTCTGAAGGGGTTGACCCTTCCCTTCTCCTTGAGGGCACCCTGGGACTGGTGACCCTTCCCTTCTCCTTGAGGGCACCCCGGGACTGGGCAGCTGGCCCCCAGGGCCACCCAGGCTGGCTGGCCTTCACAGGGGGCCCAGTGGGGGAATCCCAACTCCCAACCTCCGACTCACCAGCTGGCCCCCAAGGCCACCCAGGCTGGCTGTGCTTCACAAGACGCCCAAGTGGGGGAATCCCAACTCCTAACCTCTGACTCACAGCCAGAGATCTAAACCCCTGAGCTATCCAGCCAGCTTTTGGGTTAATAGCAGGAGTTAATTTTAATCCTTGATGGATGACTACTTTCAATGGGTAGAGCACATGTGTCCGCCTGTAGGTTTCTGTGGTTATGAAGAGCTTTCTGGAAGACAAGTCTCCCGCCTGTTGGGACTGCATATAGCCATCCTTGCCATGCCCACATTATCAGAGTGAATGCAGGGTGTTCTTTTCACTTTTCTTTCACAAGCCTACATGTCTTGTTTATTGCACACTAGAGCCATGCTTATCATGGTCCTGGAACTGGGATTTCTTTTTCCCCCCATTATTGTTACGTCCTGTTGTGTCTGCTGCCCTGAGTAGTAGCCTTGCTACTAGCTGGATGAAATGAATGAATGAATGAATGAATGAATGAATGAATAGTTGCTTCCCAATGAAAGCAATGGGAGGAAAAATAATTATGCCCACTGCAAGACTTAAATTTTCACCTTTGTTGTGTTTGCACTGGTGACTAGGAGTGCTTTGGACCTCACAAATTCAAAGCTTCCCCTGATCCAGTCACACCCCAATGCACCCGTTCCTCCTCTTTTTAATCTCTCCTTTTGTTGGAGCTTTGACTTGAGAGAAGTATGAGATGCAGATGCTTCCAATAAGACTGGGAAGGGGAGATAAGCCTGAGAATGGGACAGGGCGCAGGGAGAAAGGGACTCCTACAGCAAAAGAATCTAGAATAGTATGAAGTTTCCACTTTCCCCAGTAGATACTAAGGTTGGTTTCTTTGGATTCAGGTGCTGCTCACTTTCTAATAAAAGAGCTATCGTACCATAATCTGGAGCTGGAACGAAATCGGCAAGAGGAACTAGGGATCAAGCCCCAAGACATATGGCCTTTCATTGTCATCTCGGATGACTCCTGTGTCATGTGGAATGCTGTAGAAATCGATTGTTCTGGTGACAGGAAAAGGTGAAGGTTAATTTGGGAGTGGTGGTAAAGAATTTGAAGATTTTGAACGCTTTGGTGATTATGTTTTGAACAGTTTCTTCACTCCCATTTGCAGTGAGTACACATGGACAGAGAGGAATATTTCGCTCAAGCAAATTTTGCAACATATTGAATCCACTCCGAACGTCACCCACTATGCCTTGATTGGGATGAGGAAATGGTCCAGTAAAACCAATAGGGGAGAAATCAAGGAGCCCTTTTCTTTCTGCCACGTGCATGACTTCATCATGCTGAATGTGGACCTGACACAGAATGTTCAGTATAACCAGAACAGGTGAGCCAAGTCTGGTAGAGTAGACTTTGGCTTGGCATAGCCCGAAGTCACAGAGCGTGGCTTGGAATTGTGGAATTCTTGACTGTTCTAGGCCGTATGGTGGTTCCTTCCCAGATGTTATCCTACTGCACGCCTAGAGAACCTGGCCAGCACAGGCAGTGGCGAAAGCTTCTGGGAGTTTTAGTCTTAAGTTTTAGTCTTAGTGGGCGCCCATTAAGAGGAGGAGGCAGGGCAGGGAAGCCCAGGGTGCTGCCTCTGACGGGATGCTCCCAGGAGGAGGTGGGGTGCAGAATCCAGAGCGCCCATGCAACACTTATGGGCCTGATTCAGTGCACAGAGCCAAACCATGGTATTTGCCCATTTCTGTTTTATACTATGGGCACTGTTTTCTACACAGTCTGAGACATTTTGTCTAATGGATACACACGGTATTTCTTAAATTTCCCAACAGATTCATGTGTGATGACGTGGACTTCAACCTGCGTGCCCACAGTGCAGGTCTACTGATTTGTCGATTCAATCGGTTCAGTGTCATGAAGAAGCAAATTGCAGTGGGTGGGCAAAGGTCTTTTCATATTAAATCCAAGGTGAGCAGAGTCAGGAACACGTTTGCTAACCTTGTCCAAGTCATCCTTTTACAGCTTCAGTCGTCTGAACAATCGGGTGACCTGACGTGAGACCTGTTTTTTAAGGAGAGGATGAGTTTGTGTCTTTAAAAACATGATCTTCTGTTTCTCCACTTGAATCATTATTTACTGGGGATTAAAACAACATGTAGCTCTAGGGAGGGAGATTCCATGGATGGTACAAACCTTGTGTTGCGTTCTTCTCACCATCTGTATTCAAAGTGATTCATGTTTCTTTCCCTGAGCCGGTTAGCCCCAGGAGTAGCAAGAGTCACGGTAGGGGAACTGAATGAATAATTTCTGAGTGAAGAGTGTCAGGAGAGGAGATGGGAAGCCACACAACAGGCATTGTTATATCCATGGAATTCCGTTCCCATAGGATACATACAAAAAGCCATCCCATTTGCTAGTTTTCTCCCTGTGGAGGCGTAAACATGATCAGCACTTTAGCCAGCTCCACCATTTCCTCTGAAAACCTTGAGAATGATCTGAAGGAAAGACTTGGCAACTTTATTGATTTCACCTCGGCTCTGGAAAAGTGGTAGCATTCACAGGCCTTCCATTTAGAATGAATTAATTGCGAATATATGGACAACATGCAAATTCAGAGCTTGTCATTTTATGTCACATTTAGGAAGTGTTTTGCGACCTCCCCCAAAGGAATTGAAGGTCAAAAGGCCTGATTGCCCGAATATCACCATCTGTATTCAAAGTGATTCATGTTTCTTTCCCTGAGCCGGTTAGCCCCAGGAGTAGCAAGAGTCACGGTAGGGGAACTGAATGAATAATTTCTGAGTGAAGAGTGTCAGGAGAGGAGATGGGAAGCCACACAACAGGCATTGTTATATCCATGGAATTCCGTTCCCATAGGATACATACAAAAAGCCACCCCGTTTGCTAGTTTTCTAACCTATGGAGGCGTAAGCATGATCAGCACTTTAGCCAGCTCCGTCATTTCCTCTGAAAATCTTGAGAATGATCTGATGGAAAGACTTGGCAACATTATTGATTTCACCTCGGCTCTGGAAAAGTGGTAGCATTCACAGGCCTTCCATTTAGAATGAATTAATTGCGAATATATGGACAACATGCAAATTCAGAGCTTGTCATTTTATGTCACATTTAGGAAGTGTTTTGCAACACACACACCCAAAGGAATTGAAGGTCAAATGGCCTGATCGCCCAAATATTTCATTGTAGTACAGTATTTAAACCACGCACATGCATTTCAATGATTGTCTTTGTCTCGGCTATTTATGACACTAATGATGGTTTGGGATTTAGAAAACAAAAAAACAAAACAAAAAACCAGACACACAAACACGCACACACAAGTTTTCTACTCATTAGTGATCCCAGTTTATCCTGCAACAATGGGAGGGAGAAGGTCTGGATCCTCTTCTTAATTAACTGTTGTTTCAGGTTGGGGCTGCTCTGGTAAGCCGTGACCTGGGAGAGCTGTGGCCATTTTAAAACCATCCCTGCTTGCCTGCAGTTCGTGCCCCACCCCACCCCCACTTTGTCTACTGGCGGCACAATAATCCGCCTTTAAAGACTGCAGTCCTTGCATTTCCTTTTCTCTTTAATTGCTGTTCTTGCTGCATCGAGATGTGTCTTTTCCCCTTTTGTTGCCTATATTTTTAACCTTACTTAAAACAAAGTGAGAGCCGACTTTCTTAAACAATAAGTCAGCTGGTGATCTCCCCGTCATCCTGTTTTCCTTGTAGATGTCTGACAACCCAGTTGCTATTGCTCCGGCTCAGTACATATGCGCCCCAGACAGCAAGCACACCTTCCTGGCTGCTCCCGCTCAGTTACTGCTTGAAAAATACCTCCAGTACCACAGTCATCGCTTCTTCCCTCTCTCATTGAAGAACTGCAACCATCCCGTCCTTTCAGTCGACTGTTACCTTAATTTAGGACCACAGGTAACTGACATATTTTTTAAAAAAAACAATGCCCTCCAAAACTGTTTCCCCTGTGGGGCCTGAGAGGTCTGGAAGAAGCCGCCAGATATTGAGTCAGACCATCACCCCCATTCTGTATTGGTGACTCTGATCTGCAGCAGCTCTTTGGTATTTGGGGGCAGAATTATTTCCTAGCCCTTGTCTGGAAGTTGAACTGGTATAGCTCAGTGGCTTGGAGCCCTCAGTTGTGGGCCAGGAGATCGAATCCCGACTGGCTTGAGTATGTATGGCTGATGGGGTTACGTACCATGTTTCCATTGCAGTCTGAGGCAAGCTGCGTAACCCCAGAGCGCCCCCTGCAAAAGGGATAGCTAAACCACTTCACGAAGTGTCGGAAATGACGAAACGAAACCACTTCCAAGTGCTAGAAAATGCTGGGATGGTAAGGGTGTGGGTGGTGTCATCATAACTTGGAACTGGCTTGAGAGCACGTTGTTGTTGTTTCATTATTCGTTGTAGTAGTCCTAGTAAGAGCACAAGTGTAACCACCCAGTGCTACTTGGAACCCAAGTTAGGCACTACTGTTGTATTTTAAAGGAGTTCCAGTGTGGGAGTTTGGAAGATTTACACCTTGCTTGCCTAGAGTTCATTGCAGTCGTGGGAAGGTAATCCCATAGTTTGCTCTGAAAAAACTTGCATGTATGCTGTGAGCCAGGGAAATGATGTACATGTGATAGATAGCACACCATTAGAAGAACGAATTTCTTAACAGTTGAAGGTATCTGATTATGACTCACAATCTTACCTTGCTTTGTCTTGTGAGAGCTCTTCAGAAGGTAAGCACAGGCTTGATTTGCCAGGATAATTGTATACTCATGAAGGTCCACCTGAATCACATCTCTGAAACACTTCTGTTTCTAGTAACGGACTACGTATAACATATAATTTAGCCCTTGGTGCTATAATTTTTAGAGAAGGGGCATCACTTATAGTCACAGAGGCGCAAAATACAATTTAATTTCATCTCCCCGTAACGTTTCAAGTGGTGGTTTTTTGCTTGAAAAGAGTTCTCTAGGCAAGAGGTGTTACTTTGCAGAGTGTTTACTGACTTTGCACCTGGTCCTTTGATCATACGTAACTGTGCTTTGAACTGGGTAGAAAATCATTCCTATCATCCTCCCCCCTCTTTTTGTCCATCTCTTGCATCCAGGTCACAGTTTGTTATGTCAGTTCTCGCCCCCACTCTCTGAATGTGAGCTGCTCCGAGATGATATTCAGTGGACTCCTCTTGTACCTCTGCGATTCCTTCGTCGTCGCCAGTTTCTTAAAGAAGTTCCATTTCCTGAAAGGTGAGAAATCGCTGTGGACACTTCAAGTCCTATCTGGATTTCGGCTTCCTTGACGAAACAAAGACAGGGAAAGAGACCGCCTCGTCTGTGTTCATTGTATCGTTGCCCCTTTCTAGCTTTGCTGCATTGCCAGCTTTTAGTTATTTCAAATATTTCAAGGTTGTAAAAAAAGATGACAAGTTGGTAAGTTTGTGGGCCCATCACTTCTCAACATGGGGCTGAAATGAAAAGGCAGTACAATGGGTAAGCGTGGAACTGTTAGTAATATCAGCACGGGCATTGTTGGGGACTGGTGGGCATTGCCAACAAGCAGCCTCTAGGGGTCCCTTAACTTCTCTCTCCTGCTACAAGGGATGCTTGTATGGCTGCTTGCCATTTACCTGAAGAGGAATCTCTCTCATGCCAGCTTAGAAGATCCAGACAGCCCAAGGTTGCCTGTGTTGGCTAGCTTGCAGTGCTTGGCGAGTGTTGTCTGTGTTTGTGTGTTTCATGCAGATATATTTTCTGTCACCTGTTGACCCACCCTTTGATATAATAGCCAAGGCCACAGATTGGACCCAGTCCTTCCTGCATGTAGAGCATGAGCTGTCGTGTTGAGCTCTGGCTCCTCCTTTTATGATGTTGTGGGGAGTGGGTGGTCTTCCCGATGATGTGGGGCTGAGGGCCTGATCACACGAGGCACATGTTCCCCACTTTTAATAACACTTCCCATACCTCCATTGTACTGGATTGCAGAGAAGTGGTGTATATATACCTGGATGAACGTTCCCATTTGTTTTAATGCCACCAGTTCATTTCTTCCTATTTGAAATGTTATGGCCAACTATACTGTGGAACAAATTTATCTTCTCTCTTGTCTCCTGGGGCAGTGCAACCCCTTACTTTATATTTTCTTTAAGTAAAAAAAGATAAAAGTCCCTAACTCGTGCCTGCCTCCTGCCCGCCCACCCTTTCCCCAGTGCCTAGCCCTGTGGGTGCGCACGCTTCTTTGAGGCAGTGCCTTGGCCCCAGCCATTCTCCTTTTCCCATTTTCCCCAGTGGGATTGCCATTCACACATGCAGTACCAGTAACGAATGTTCCAATACATTAACAGAACAAAATAACAGAAGCCTTTTGGAAAGGGGGAAAATAAATAGCAATTACACGGTTGGCCAGGTAAGTGATTTGACAATGACTGTGTGCGTCACGCGACCAGAAATGTATGCAACAATCTAACTGGGGAGTAAGTAGGGAATATTTGCCTCGACTGACCTGAGAATCCCACCAGCATACCCTATAATAAGGGACGATGGGAAATATACACCAAAGTCAGGAAGGCCATTTGTTCCAGGCAAGGAACCAGAGGTAGGGGGAGCCACAAAAAAGGGGGTTGAGGAGCAACCCTACCAGTCGCGTGGGATCCATTCTTTTACAGTGTCAAAGTCATTGAGAGCGGAGGTTTCAGCCGTGTATTTAGGAAGGGTTGGGTTGAGGAGCAACCCTACCAGTCGCGTGGGATCCATTCTGCTTTTACAGTGTCCAAGTCATTGAGAGCTGAGGTTTCAGCCGTCTATTTAGGCTGCCTGTTGGCCTTCTTTGTCTTGATTTGATTGTGTTAAAATTACTATTCTTACCTGTGCATGTATTATTATTGCAAGCTGTTTGAAGGAACTGATATATGGGAACATGCTAGATGATGATTATGATGATTATGATGATGGTCACTCCAACAGGTGCCACCTTGTGCGTCATTTGCCAGGACAGGAACTCCCTTCGCCAGACTGTCGTCCGACTGGAACTGGAAGACGAGTGGCAGTTCCGACTGAGGGACGAGTTCCAAACAGCCAACGCCAAAGAGGACAGACCCCTTTTCTTTCTGACCGGACGGCATATCTGATGATGCCCACAATCCATCAGCCTTGTTCATATGGCATAGGAAGCTGCCTTCTTTCTGACCAAAGAGACAGTTTGCCAACAGAGAGAGAGAAAGAACTCGCCAGACTGTCGTCCGACTGGAACTGGAAGACGAGTGGCAGTTCCGACTGAGGGACGAGTTCCAAACAGCCAACGCCAAAGAGGACAGACCCCTTTTCTTTCTGACCGGACGGCATATCTGATGATGCCCACAATCCATCAGCCTTGTTCATATGGCATAGGAAGCTGCCTTCTTTCTGACCAAAGAGACAGTTTGCCAACAGAGAGAGAGAGAGAAAGAACGGGAAAGTCCAAACAAAGGAGAACTGTTATATAGGCACAAGAACGTAGGCAATTTTGAAATATTTGTATTAAATTTGTATTTTATTTGACCGATTTTTGTTCATAATGCTAAACACTGTTAAAGACTTTTATAATTTAATGAGCTTCTGAAGTTACCATTGCTTTACTCCATCCAGGGTGGAAGTAGGTAGGTAGTGTTTTTTCCCCATGCTTTTGAAGTGTTCCCCTCCTTTTTGTGTGTGTTGTATATATTATACAAATAGCTTCTAAGATAAGCAGTTGTGGTATATAGTTCCTATTTTAGCAAACCAATTCCACCCTTCAGGTTTTTAACCTAGAAGCCAGTATAACAGATGGTGCACATGTAATATATTGCTCCTGATGACTTCAATACAGTTGTGCAAAACTGCTTTGTGCAGTTTTTTTCCCCTCTGTTGTTAAAGGCAACCTTAACTGGGAGATTGTCCAGTATCAAACCTTGTTGAAGTGAATGGGAAGCACGTCAGGGAGGGATAGTGCCAGTTCATTTCAGTGGATATTCCACAGAACTTTTCCAGTGGACCGTGCCTTATATATTTCTGTTCGAGAGAAAACTGACTTTCCATCCTAACTACTGGCTGCTCTTGGTAATTTTTAAGATGCAGGCGTTTGTAAGATATAGAAATGTAATTATAGTGAGCTTTTTTTCTGGTTTATTAAGAACATTTGAAAGTAAATGGTTTGAATTTCTAACTTTCAGTAGTAAAGAGGGAGCTTCAAGAGGAATGGTGAGTTAACAGCAACAAAATGTTTCAAAAACAGTTGGATTGTGGCCCATCCTAAGACTTCCTTCGGTTTTCTATGAAAATAAAAACAAAAAACATCCCTAATGTGGATTTAGTTCTCTGTTTTTGAAGTTCTTTTGTAGAATAGTCATAAGAATGTTAAGAAGAGACCTGTTGGATCATGTGGGAAATTCTCAGTGAATTCTTCATCCCTGTCAAGAAAATCTGTCTTGACATGATGGGACAGTAAGTTAAGAATTTGTTAACCCTCTGTGAAATTTCTCATCATCGCCATCATGAGAAGAAGGCGACTGCCATTTTTTCCTCACTGGATCCCTGTACTTTTCTAATGTTATTATGAAAAGTGCAAGGGTTGGGATGTCTGCTCCCAAATTCCTCACCTTAGTCAGTGTCAGCCTTGGCTGAGAAATGTGAGCACTTGTGGATGATAACTCTTCCATGTCACAAGTGATAAGTCTTATTAGCTGAAATCCTGTTGCTTTGTTACACATGCAGAAGGCAAAAGCCATATAACATTCACTCACTTCTAGCCATCAATTAAAGAATTGCTGCTGTGGTTCTTGAGGGTGCCCATTCCCACTAGCTTAGTGTGATCTCAAGATCCCAGTGGGAAAAACTAATGAATGTGATGCCATTTGCTTTCCTCATGCATAGCAAAGCAACAGGATGTCAGCCATTATTTGCATCCATTAGAGGCTTAAACTTGATCAATGTGTCTACCATTACATAGAGAGGGAGAGGGAGAGGGGGGGAGAAAATAACTGTCTCTGTGTAGTACAGATGTGGGAAACTCTGGTTTTCCAGATGTTACTGGCTGCCATTTCCCATCAGTCATAGCCGGCATAGACCATGGTGGCGGCAGGTAGGATTTGTGATGGAAAAGTTGCCTTTTTGAATTACAATTCCCAGAATCACATCCTTTCTGAGGGAATTTTGGGAGTCAATTCAGAAGCCATTTTTTTCCTAATTCCGCATGTCTTCCATGTGCACTTGTCACATGCTTCAGCTTTTATGATTGTTTAATGCATCTGCCAAAATTGGCTGCTTGAATCGTGAAAATATTCAGATATTGCCTTTAAGGTTGGATCCATTTCATTTCTAAATGAAATGTTGCTTTGATTTCTTCTCTTCTACTACATCTGTGATGTTGTGGAGCATTACACCATAGCCCAGCAAAATCTATATATCTTACTTGCCTTCAAAATCCCTCAGTCTGATTGCATAACTGCCCGCTTAGGAAGGTAAAAATTTTAGAGGGAAATGCAGATTGCAACAATTTTCTTGTGGAATTCACTTTCCCTCTGTACCTTTGTTTTCTTTGTAGGACAAATTCAAAATGGCTTTGCGTTGTTCCAATATATTGCACTGTTTTCAAAGTTCCTGTTTCTCTAAAGTATAATTATATTCCAATCTTGAATGTTTAATGTACAGTTACGGTCAAATACTAAATTTTATTAAGTATATTTGCTTATCATCACTTATTCAACACTGACTCTGGAAATTGGCACGTACTAGCTTGCTATAAATAGTAAGGCTAGTTATATAACTTGGTTGAAGGATTTCACATCCTTTATACATGGAAGAACAGATATTTCAATAAGGATTAGCAGGCCAGCCTGCACTTTATTTTCGTGAGTCCCAGTTATCGGACTGAACTGAATTAATTAAGATGGGAAGCATTAATCAGAATTTGTGAAAACTATGAATTACAGTGGGGCCATTTCAACAATTGAAACTATGATCCAGATAAACATGACAACCAGACTTGAAGGCATGAATAATCATGTCATTTAATATATAATAAATACTGTGCAAATGGATAGACCGGAGCCAAAACGGAGATAGCAACAGTAGGAAAGGATCGTGTTCCTTCCCGTGGGTGGGTGGATCTAGATTTGATTCAGAGGTTGGGAATTTACTGTTTTGGATTATAGCCCAGTATGAGGGGGGGCTGAAGTGAGCTTTCACCTCCGATCCTCCAACCAGGAAGTGCCAGTGGTTGGGCACACATTCTGACCTCATAGCATCGTAGAATACAGTAGGACCCCCGTATCCAAGGGTGATCAGTTCAAAGCCCTCACCCCACGGATACTGAAAAGCACAGATTATAACTAACACAATCTGTTGGCCCCAGGAGCCCCCATACCTGTAATTTTGATCTCAATGGGGCCTCTATGAGTAAGAGCTGAATTGAAATCTGCTCTTGTTTCTTAACATGTTGAAGACTACCATATCACAAAAGTCGAATGAATAAATAAATAAATATCTCTCCCTCCCTCCCCCTTTTCTCTCTCACTCACTCACACACACACTGACACGCTCTCAACACACACACACACCATCTCAATGGATTTGCAGGTTTTCTTTGAAGACAATGAAGAATCCATTTCCACCTTTGCTTGGGAGTGTTGAGGAAGAGTCTGGCTGGAAGGCAGGATGGGCGTGAGGTGGGAAATCTCTCTCAGGAGGCAGTTTGGCTTAGGTTAGCATTCCTCCTCCTCCTGCCTTGCCAGCCAACCCAACTCTGAGCTTTACAAGGATGCTGCTCTGGAAGCATCTGCTGGGACTAGAAGAAAGGGTGGTGGCTTACCTATAAAACATAGTGTTTGGTTCCTCTAGTGGGCAGCATGATAATTACATCTTGAAAATTGAAATTTGTAGGTATTTTCATTTAATATCTTTAATCTTTTCAGATAATGGACAAGGGAACTCAGTGGCTAATTATCCAGCAGATACGGGGGTCCTACTGTATTGGACTTGGAAAGCGCCTACAAGGCCATCAAGTCCAACCTCCTGCTCTATGCAGGAATCCAAATTAAAGTCTATCTGACAGGATGATTGTCCCATTTTCCCTTGAATGCCTCCAGTGTTGGAGTGCTCACCATCTCTTGAGGTAATTGGTTCCATTGTTGTGTTACTCTAAAAGTCAGGAAGTTTTCCCTGATATTCAGCCAAAGTCTGGCTTCCTGTAACTTGAGCCCATTATTATGTGTCTTGCGATCTGGGAGGATTGAGAACGGATCCTGCCCCTCCAATATATGACAACCTGTGAAGTATTTGAAAAATGTTAACATATCTTCCCCCTCAGTCTTTTCTCGAGGCTAAACATGGCCAGTTCCTTCAATCTTTCTCATATGTTATATAAATATACAACTAGAACATTTCCCATAAATACTGATGGTTCACATTTTTTCTTACACTTCCTAAAACGGGGATTGAAAAAAAAGTTGAGGCACAGAGAGTTTACTTCTATAATTTTTATGCTATATTTCCTTAAGTAGGCACCAGAGAATATCCAGAGTACTTCCAATTAAAAATGTATATAACTTTTTAAAATGCTTACATTTATCTTCTGAAGTGGGTAAAAGACAGTTTTCTGGAAAAATATTTGTTTCTGCAACTGGATCTAGAAAATGTAAAAGGAAATTGTTCAAAGAGACCAGAGGAACTACAGCTTCATTGGTGAAACTGCTGGATATTCCAGTGATTTAAGCATCTGGCCATAGTGTCGAAGGTCAGGAGTTTGAGTTCCCGACGGTACCTCGTTGAGAGGGGCTGGACTTGATGATCCATAGAGTCCCTTCCAGCTCTGTAGTGCTAAATTTATTATCATATCTAAGATATAAAACTAAGCAGCGAAGAGCACCTCACAGGTATATGTTTTTTTAAGCTGGGGCTATAAATTGCAGCCTGCTGCTGGCTTGCCTTAGACCTGTAACTTGAAATTGAGAGTCCAGGAGAATAAATGGATTCACCTCATACACATCCTTACCTAAATTTACCACTACTGGGGAAAGGAAGAAATGTTTTAAATTCTGAGGGAACTGCCATGTTGCAACTTAAAAAACGAAGGGAGGAAAAGTCATCTCCACCTCATTCTTTAATGTATGTTCCCTCTGACCTCCAAGTTGGAGGAGGTAGCAGTCATACACGGCGGGGGTGGGGTGGGGGTGGCGGTAAAGCGGAACCCCAGTATCTACATGTC